ACAGCGACAGCCAGAAGGCTGCAGCTGGAATGACAGGCTGACTTAGTGTCCCAGAACTTCTTTGTTGAAAGTGGAAGCTGAGCCCAACAGGACAGAAGATGGTGTTGCAGTGTGGGGACCCTGGAAGTGTGTTTCCATGGCAACAGCATCATCACTCAGGCCACTGGGAAGGGAAAAGACTGGGAACTCACAGAGGAGCCAGACGCCCTCGCTGGCCACGCTGGGCGACATGGCCAGTCGCCTCCAAGTTGGCGTCACGTGATACCCCACCTACCCGGCAGGTCCCTGCTCCCCTGGCTGTGCATGCAAAGGTGCTGGGGTAGCTGAGCATGGGTGGCCGGTCAGCTGCGGGCGCTGTGGTCTGGCCCCAGCCGCAGGGTGGGTGACAAGGGTCACTCTTCGTTCACGAGCATCTTCTGGAGGTGGCAGCGGGGCCGGCAAGCTTGAGCTCTGCCTCACAGAAGGTCTAGCGTGGTGGCCACTCTGCGGTCCTTTGGGGAGACAGCGGAGCATCTGCTGAGCCTGTGGCCTTCAGCACCGACGTCTCAGTGGCTTGTCTAAGGGCTACCTGCAGAGTGCTGTCCGGGACCGGCAGGCCAAAGGAGAAAGAAAACACAAGGACAAACGCCCGCCCTCGGAGTCCAGTTCCCATGAAATGTGTGGCAGACGCTGAGGGCCCGAATGAGGGAGGGCCAGGAGGGCCCCTCGATGCTAGGCTGCAATCTGACATCAGACTTCTTTCTAAACTACTTTAGCTGCACGGTAGTAGTTCTACTTCTGCTTTGAAACAGTGTCTCAGTATGACTCGAACTCACAGCGACCCTCTTGCCTCAGCCTCCACAGTGCTGGGATTACAGGTGTGTGATAGATAATCTGAGGAAGGGCAACATTTCCCTGCCTGTGAGCTGGTTGTCAGTCACTCGTTCAAGGGATGAACAGGTGCCTGCGCTGCCACCTCTCTGGCACTAGGGGGCACTGCAGGCCCGCAGATGCCGGAGCCCCTTTGGAGCAGCGCTGCTTGGCCGGGCCCCAGGCCCCCCAGGCCTCAGCGTGTGGGGAGCAGAGAACAGCGTCTGTAGGACCCCCTGGGGCCTCTCTGGGCCTCTAAGTGATACTGATGTTCTTCTCTTGTTACAAATTTTACTGTTTTAGGTCATTCTAAATCATTCTTCCTGTCTCCCAAGAGACCACAGCCCCCTCCTGCCGGCGTTTATGAACTTATTTCTGTTGACCTTACAGGGGCCCAGGAGGACAGCTCTCAGGAACAACTGGGGAATGAGTTTATAAAGCCCCAGGCGATCATGCAGGATTAACCCAGGTCCATCAGCTGGGACACCAAGCGCACACAGCTGAGGCCGAGGCGGGCTGTCGGAGCCCCGCGGGGCAGTGCTAGTGTCTGTGTGTCCTGAATTCTGACCTGCGCAGGTGGGTCTGTGGAAGGAGGTGGCCGGCTCCCTCCTCCACCGAGTCTCCAGGGGAAGAGGGCGGGAGGGAGAGGCCAGCGTCACCCCCACTTACGGAGCGTCTTCCAAGGTCCAAGCTCCCCAGCCCTGTCACCCCGTCTGTTTGTTCCCAGGGCAGCCTTAATAACTTCTTAATTGGGCCGCTGCAAGCTCCCCAAGAACCTGGCTTCAAAGCTGGCCCTCATGCAGCCCTGGTGTCTGTCCCTCCTCTTTGGTGCCACCTGCGAGGTCCCTCCTCAGCAGCTGCGGCTCCTCTGGTGGGACTAACACCCGTTCCCTGCTCTGTGACAGAGCCGTGTTCTCCACTAGTGACACTGTAGGCCCCAGCTGACAGGAAGATGCCACCAGAAATTCACCCCGACACAGGCTTCTGCCACCCAAGGCCACAGTCCATCAAGGCCTGAGAAAACCTGATTTTAAATGGAAAAAGAAGCCAGAGCAATGGGCCTTGGCTGGGCAAGCTACGGGGGACCCTCAGTGCGGGCCAAATGCTGGGACTCGAATGGGATCTGGCTCAGGCTGAAACAACGCTGGGGTCCAGGCCCCGTTTTCTCTCCCTGTGCCAGTGTGGCTGGTTATGCGTTGGTCCCTGTAGCACGCCTCTGCCTTGGAGCCCGTGGTGCCCCTACTCCTCCCTGCCTGGACTGTGCCACCTCCTGGAGCAGAGGGGGCTTCGGCTTTAGCTCTTCTCCTGCCCCTTACTTGGGCCGTGCTGTCCACTACAGCCCCAGCACTGGGAAGGCTGAGGCAGGAGGGTCATCAAGCAAGTGTGAGGCTAATCTGGGCTGCACAGTGAATTTAGGGCCAGCCTGGGCAGCATAGTGAGGCCCTGTCACACAGAAAAAAAATACAGAAGAAAAACAAATCCACATATCACTAAAGTAAGGGCGAGTGCATCAAAGGAAAGGATACAGTCGGAATGAAGAAAGCTAGCAGCTGACGCCAGGCATGGCCACTGTTCATGGGAGAGCGCTCCCTTTGTTCTGTTTATTGTTTTGATGCTGGGAATCGAACTCAGGACCTTATGCTTGCCAGGCAGGTGCTGTGCCACTGAGCTACATCCCCAGCCCCGTCCCTTAGTTCGATGCAGGGTCGAAGGTTGTCCTGCCCTATTGGCAGCGCCTGCGATGGCTTCCACCCCCAGGGGTGCACGTCCCTCCGATACCTGAATGCTGGCCCGGACGGTGGCTCTGGCAGCCTTCACCTGTCCCCAGCAGGGCTGGCATCCCGCAAAGCCTCCAGAGCAGTCTTCTTGGCAAACAGCAGCGCACAAGCCGCATCCACACAGCACGAACAATTAGTGCTATTTAATTACAGACAAAATTAGGCTTACAAATTGATTTATGGCCCTGCAGATGAAACACATATTCTTGGAGGAAAGCGAATTTCTTACAATTAATTTGAGAGAAACCAGGCAGGCGGTTCTGATGGGAACTTGTCCCGAGGCCTCAGCCACATCCCGAGGCCTGTCCAAGGGACAGCTCTGCCTGCAATTAGTTGCGCTAATTACCCAGAGAAGACCAGAAGCTGGAACAGAATTCTGGAGAACAGGACGGGTGTCTGAGACCTATTTGAGCCCTGCTCAGGTACCCTGAGAGGCAGCTTCCCAGAAAAGCTTCCTCAGCCTGAAGTAGACCAAACGTTGGTCTCGCCAGCTGTGCATCACGAGGACGCCGTCTGCCGCAGCAGGCAGCAGCTAGACTCGGCAGTCACCTTTTATCTTAACACAGAGGAAACGTGTGCTGGGTGACACCTGGGGGAAAAGTACCTGCTGATCACATTTCGGGGGAAAAATACTCAGTTCTGTTTAGGAAAATAGAAAATGATTACTTTCCATAAAGCACAGGGATAGGAACTTTTGTGGACACATTTGAGAACTGTCTGAGGCAGAGACCGGAGGGCAAAAGAGCGTCCATCAGGGAGGGAGGGAGACCCATTTAGAGATGAGGAAGGGTGGGCCGGAGTTCTGCCCCTTGGCGCCTCTGGGGATTCGGGTGAGGGGCAGGTGGGCAAGCCCAGATTTCCATGACTGTCCAGGAGGCAGTTTATTTTTATTTTTTACTTTTTGGTACTGGAAATCGAGCTCAGACCCTTGCGCTTGCCAGGCAGGTGCTGTGCCGCTAGGCTACATAAGCTACATCCCTGTCCTGCGGCTCAGTTTAGATACTGCACACTGGACGCTGCCGTAGGTTTTTTGTGCATCTTTGTCTTTGCTTTAGAGTTTTACAGGGCAGAGCGACAGAGGAAAGAAAAAAGGGAAAGTTTAATAATTAAAGAAAAGACACAGACGCTCAGGAAGCGCACCCAGGATGAGGTGATGCGCACACCCTGAAGACAGGAGCACCAGAGAGGGCTGCGGAGAGCGACCAGGCTGCAGACTCAGACACACAGCCCGGGCACGCAGCGCCGTGCACCGCCTGGCCGCGACGACGGCTTCTGCGGGCGGAGGGCCGACGAGCCGCCGCGTCGGGGCTGTTGGCTTAAGCAGTCTGTGGAAGTTTAGGACGCGGTCCTGGGCCTCTCCGGGGCTGTCTCTGCCGGCGATCCCACAGCACCCTTGGAGCAGAGGGCCCCGAGCTTCCCGCGAAGCGTGGCGCTTAGATGCAACGGTCAGAGTTCCTCCAGGGTCTCGGGAAGGAGCGCAGGGCGCAGCTGACCTTCCCGGCTACGGCTATGTCCTCTCTTAACTGGTTGCTCCGGGTCCCCGGGAGCACCTGGGGCCTCAGCATGGAGATCTGCTGAGGATGCGGGGTGGAGGTCATCCGGGGATGTGGGCGGGGCCACAGAGACGCCGGAAAACCGCGCGAGCCGGGAGCCCCTCTCTGGCCGCCGTGCGCTCCCGTCTGGCGAGGTCTGGAGCGACACCCGGCGGAATCCCCGCAGCGGGCTCCGTAGGAAGCGGCGAGGCCATTGGACACCTGTTGTGGGCGTGGGCGGCGCCGCTCCCGGCCCCCGAGCTCCGGGTCCCCCGCCCCGGCCTTCGCGCCCGCCCACCCGCGCGCACAGGCGGGAGGGCGGCGGGTGGCCAGGGAGGTGGGATCGGGTTTGCGGATTGGGGCTCACAGCTGTCACTCCGGAAGGGTGGGGCTTTTTTTTTTTTTAAAGGCAAATTTTCACGGCAAAACCCCAGCCCGCTCGGGGCACCGTCGCGACCGCCGGCGCTCGGATGCAGTGTCGGCCCGGCAAGCGCGAGCCAGCCGTTCCTCCCGGCGCGCAGCTGGGCCGCGGCGGCCGGCGCTCGGGGTCCGAGCCGACCCGCAGGGCCGGGGGGCGGGCTCTTGCACCCCCAAACTTCAGGCGCACAGCTTGCGCGAGCCCGGGGGCGAGCGACCGCCCGGGATGGGGGCGGCGAGTCAGGGAGCCCCGCGCCCTCCCGAGCGCTTGGTCACCCGCCCGGGAACCCCCGCGCCGCCGCCCCGCGCCCGCTAGCCGGCCGGGGTCTCCAGCCCGGGTGTCCGTCCCGCCTGCCGCGAGCCTGCGCCCTTCCCCGGGCACTGTGGTCATCATCCGCCGGGGCAACGGGAAGGGAAGGAGTCCCCGCGGATTAAAGATTTAGGAAGACGGCGGGTGAGGAAGCAGGGGCAGGCTCGGCCGTGCGCGGGGTCCCGGCCATGGCCCGGCGCCGGGAGCGCTCAGGGCGCCCGCGCTGCTGCCTGGGTCCCTAGAGCGCGCGCCCTCGCCCTGCGGCCCGGCCTCCTCTCCGGCGACGCTCTGGTCTCAGGATGTGCCCGTCCGAGATGGGGACGCTGTGGCATCTGTGGTCTCCAGTGCTCATCGGCCTGGCCGCTCTTTCCTCCAAAGGTGAGGACCCAACGCCACCTCGGGCCGGGACGAACTTTGCGGGGAGCGAGCGGTTGCGTGGAGCGGGCGGCGGAGCGCCGCGTGGGTGTGCGGCGCGTGGGGCGGCGTGCGCGGAGCCGGAGACTGGGCCGCAGGTGCCTGCGCGGGAGGAGGCGGTGGGCTGCCCTCGCGAGCCGCAGAGGAGCGCGGAGCCGCGCTGTCTCCGGAGGCGTTTTCAGTCCGCCCGCCCATGGGATAGGAGACCCGCGGTGGGAAAGGTTCCTGGGCGGAGTCAGAAGTCCAGCAGGGGATGAAAAGAGCCTAAGATCCCCGGAATTCGGAATTGACTTCCCTGCTGGCTCGGACTTGGTTGGAAATCATTTCAGAGCAGTCCTGTTGCGTGGACTGGCATTTAGTGCACCTGAAGGTGCTAAAAATGCTGTGGGGACCAGCTGTGCAGAAGCGCCCTGGGCCCCTTTAGGCCGGACCAGCAGAGGTCGCAGCCCGGCTGGGGGTAGCAGCCCCGTGGGATGGTGGAGTTGGAACTGGACCTGGCAGCTTGGCTCGTCACTGCCGGGCCTGGCTTGAAGCCAGGGTGAAGCCTGGGTCCCCTCCTGCTTGTTGTCCCTAATGCCATCCCTGTCAGGCTCCCGAAGCCCCCACAGAAATTCCTGGAAGAGAGATTATTTGATTCCCATCGTAGACCCCGCAGTGGACTAGTTCTTACCCCCGCCGGCGGTCCCTGGCCAGCTCTGGTTTGCTCTGACAACAGCTGGGGAGGAAAGCGGGGTCCTCAGCTTTCTGGGGTGTGCTGGAAAGCCCTCACCACATGTTTCCCTGGGAAAATTTTGCAGCTGCGGTCTCTGAGAAACTTCAAAGCCAGTTGTCACGTGCAGTCTTTAATGGGGAGAGCGTGCTGCTCTCCTGTGTTGCTGGGGCTCCGGACGGGGTCAGGGGTCTGGACAGCCCGCTTGCTGGCTTTCCGGCTGGTAGGGTTTGGGGAGGAGGTGTTTGCTTCACCTGCTCTGAGGCTTCATGAACCCATGGAGTGGGCTCCATCTCCTGACAGTGAGGTGGGATGGGGGGATGGGAGCGGCCGGGGCTGGGGACGGGGTGGGGGGGGGCTGGTGAAGCACAGAGGTGGGGGGCTGCAGTGCCAGGAGCAGGCGGACACGAGAGTGTGAGCAAGCCACATCTGGGGACAGCAGCCAGCTGACCAGCTCTGCTGTGGGGCAGGCCTTGTGGCTGTCACTCAGCTTGCTGATGGGACAGGCTGCTCTCTTTCTGTGCAGCAACCTCTGGGTTTCATCCAGGAAGGGAGAGAGCATCTTTGTAAATAAACACGACCCCGCAGCTGCCTCAGTTGTGCGCTCCAGCGCAGCCCCACCAGCCAGTTCAGAAGCTGAGTCCCGAGTGGGTCTGCGTGGATTGCGAGCCCTGCTGGGCACCTGGAGGCGAGGGGGGTGTCCACAGCCGCTGCATCACCAGGATTATCAGTGGCATCAGATGCACTAAGCAGGGTTTCATGGCCCAGAAAGATCTCATGAACCTGGAGAGGCTCAGTGCTTTTTCTGGTGGGTTCTGAGTTCTACCCCACAGGGATTCTTCAACCACCTGAAAGTTCTAAGCAGCCTGAAATCGAGGATGAGCTGTACTGAAGCCAGGTGTGGCGGTGCACGCTGGTGATCACAGCACTGGGGAGGCTGAGGCGGGAGGGTCACTGAGCTCGGGGCCAACCTGGGCCACACAGTGAGTTCAAGGGCAGCCTGAACTGTGCAGCAAGCCCCTGTCTCAGCAAACAAACAGAGCAAAAGAAGGATGGGCTGTATTGGAAAGGATTTTATTTTATTTATTTATTTTTGTATTTTAGGGAAGGGTCTACAGGGTGTTCAGGGTCTCACTACTAGATCTGACTTGTAGTGATCCTCCTGTTTACAGCCTCCCAGGAGCTGGGATTATAGGCGCGCACCACCACACCCAGTCTCAATTGTCATCTCAGAGCCCTGGGGGCGGGGCCAGCAGGGAAGGCCTGGGGATCAAACCCCCAGTCCCTGCGTCTGCTTTCAGGTGCTTTAATCCACTGAGCTATTTGGCCAGCCCTTGGAAAGGATTTTAATTGGATGTAAACATGCACACTATAAAATGCCTAATCTCCCTGTGACTGACTGAATGGGAAACAGAGAATATTACTGTATATTAAATAACTGCCTGGGTAAATGGTTTTTATTATATGGTCTCAGAGCTTTCCAAATCAGAGTCCTTGAACAAAACGCTCCACAGTTTAACAGCAGACCACTGACTGTGGCCCTTCTCCCCGTCTGAGGTTCATGAGCGGGAATTGATCAGTCATTACCCCCCAACTGTTGGAAATACATGCACGCTCAAAAATGCATGAAAGGTCACTGCTTGTCTTCCATCTCCTGGGGACCTTCGAGCCTTGCTATGAAGCAAAGAGTGTCGCTGGCTCCTGGATGCCTGCCAGGCCTGCCAGAGGGTGGCTTTGACTCAAGTTTTGGTCTTTGTTGGAAACTCGATGTAGTCCGCAAGTGTGCCGCCCTGTAGGCGGGTGGATGCATTGCTGTAAGCCCTGTGAGCCAGCCGGCCGTGGCAGGAGGGCAGAGCGGCGGGAGGAGGTGTGTTGCTGTCAGGGTGGTGCTGGGCGGGACCGTGTTGTTCTGCTGCCACCCCCTTCTGCCACGAGCCCGCTCCCTGTGGATGCACCCTCCCAGAGCTCTCGGATGCTGCAGGGAGCTGCTCGTGACAGGCGCCTGTCCCAGCCATGTGGCTGCATGGCTATGGCCCACCCGTTCACTCATCCACCCATCTATCCTCTATCCATCATCCCCTGACTCATCTATCTCCATCTGTCCTCACCCCACCCATCCCCCACTCATCCATCCCCATCCCCCACTCATCCATCCCCATCCCCCACGCATCCA